TACCTTACACTGGGTAATTCATAAACAACAGAAACACATTGCTCACAGTTCTAGAGGCTGGGAAGTCCAAGACCAAGGTGCCAGCAAATGGGGTATCTGGTGAGGGTTCCCCTGCTTCGTAGATGGTGCCTTGCTACTGTGTCCTCACATGACAGAATGGGCTAAGGGAGCTTGCTCCAGCCTCTCTTCTAAGGAGACACATTCCATTCATGAGAGTAGAGACTTCATCTGACTTAACCACTTCTCAAAGGCCTCATATCTTAATACTATCACACTGGTTATTAGGTTCCAACATATGAAGTTTGGAGAGGCACCAACCTTCAGACAATAGCAGATGGGATGTGGGGGTGAGGCAGAGAAGAGAGTCTGGCTTGGGAAGTGAGGTGCATTGATGGTGTCCGTCATGGAGAGTGAGAACCCTTTGAGGAGAAGCAGGAAGAAGAGGAGGAAGGGAAGGAGAAACAAGTATTTGAGGAGAAAGTGGAGGAGTTCAGGTTGAGAAAAGTTGAGTTGTGGGAGGTTGTGAGTTACCCAAAGGGAGCTCTTCAGTGACCAGTTGATCATATGGATCTGGAGTTCAGGTGTGAGGCCTGCACTGGGAGATGAAGATGTGGATGTCATCAGCTTTCAGAAACTCGAGGGAGTATCAGCTGGCTAGAGGATACGCAACCACGAAAATGGAGAAGAGAAATGAGAAACAGGGAAAACTGTAAGGCACAGACAGCGGATGCCTAAATTTTCTCACATGGTGTGGAAAAGGACTTTTGTAATCCCCCAGAGGCAATATATTTCTTTCCTTACTATGGTGGGTTCCTGCTAACAGTGTGTCTGTGTTTCTGGGGGTGGAGCAGCCTAGGGGCTGCCATTCTTTACTACCTTTGTATTCTTTAGGCCTTTGAGGGCTCTTGGCCTTAAGAGGCAGCATAATCCAGGGGTGAAGAGCACAGTTCAGACTACCTCCACTAATTTCTAGCTGTATGCACACTGGCAAAGTTGTTTAACCTTTCTCCATCTCCATTTCTTCATCTCTAAACTAATACCATTTCCAGAGACATTTTGTGAAGATTGAAATAGATAGCTCATGGAAAGCTTCATCACATTCACTATCATTATTATTATTATTATTATTATTATTCATGCTCCAAAAGAATCTGGAGGCTGCAACCCTAGGGTTTTATGCCAGGCATCAGGAGGAAAGAAGAGTGCCTAAGAAGCATACTGTCTCCCTGATTTATAAAAAATGTTGTAATTTCTAGAGGAGTGGGAAGCCACAGGGTTAGTGTGAGATTGATGAGGCATTTCTGGATGTTGATTCAGGTGCTCAAAGACAAGAGTTCCTTTTCCCAAGATACCATCTGATCTACTGCAACATACAACATGGGAAGTTCACATATTACAAGAGATTGGTTTGGAGTCCCCAAATCCTTCTTGATTTGATTTTTATTGTATGGTCAGCCAGTGAGCCAATTCTAGACTCACCCTTTAAAGTAAAACTAAAATAGGTGAAAAACATGTTTATGGAGTCTCAAATTCCTTGGGGGCCGTAAATCTAGATAACAGAAAGGCACTTCTCCACTTAGTAATCAGGATTGTCATGGTTACTTAATGGTTCACATGATTCACAAGTACACCCTGCTCTCCTCTAAGGCAGTATTTACATTTCAAAGAAACCTACATTTTTCAAAATTCCCATCTAAAAACATTTGTTTCAGTTGAGAAAGTGAAATTAAGGTCCAGAGAAGTTGAAACTCACAATAACAAAGTTATGTTTTCTGCAGGAATTTCAATAATAAAGGTTTTATTAGAGCTATAAGTGTATAACTATAAAACAGACTTCAATGAACAAATTCAGAAATATTTGCTCAAGAGTGACGTCTTTTATTTTCCTTATCACCATGAGCTCTATAACTAATAAATAAAGTTTCTTATACATTCTTATCAATTTTTATCACATTTATCACCCACTGCTAGGATAAACAAAACCGAAAGGCATCTTGTGGTGTGTCTCAAGGTTTTTGCTTTAAACCCAACTGATAATGGCTCCTGGTTTTGACGACATTGTTACCAACCACTCTTTGCACAATGCAAATTAGGTTTTCTTATTGATCAATTACATTGTATCCAGTCTGAATTATGAAAACATAGTTGTGAAAGAAATGCTCGTATTGAATAAAGTCGGCAATTAGCTGAGAATTGAGAACCTTTGTCATGGAAACATTTTCTATAGACTCTCACATCGTATCCTATAATGTTCTAGAATATTTAGTTATATTACAACGTTAGAAGTTATAACTTTTAATTACAAATGCAACTGGTTGGGGACAGGAGAAGGGAGTAAATTGAATAATAGTACTGTTTCTCAGTATTTAATTATTTTAACTGGATACACACTTTTAAAATGAGAAAAAAAAACTTATTTAATGACCCACCAATGTCTATAGAGTCTTGGTTAATTTACTTATTCTCTTCCGGCCTTATCTGTGAAGTTGAGCGAGATAACTTGTGTTTTAAAAGACAGGAATTTTTCCCGTTAAAAACCAAAACAACAACAACAAAATAAAATAAAATAAAATAAAATAAAAAGATAAAATTAAAAAAACCCTCCTCTGTTCCGGGAAAGGATTAGTGAGGATGAAGCATCAAAGGGCTCCTAAATAAGGAGATACTTGCGTCCTACTCCAACACTTTCTCAACCATATTGCAAGCCCCAGACAGGACAGCCATGAAATGCACCAGGAAGACCGGATCCTAAGCCTAGCAACTCCGGCTTTGACAAAGATTGCTGTTCCTCCAGCACAGCACAGAAGCATCAGAGCCATTAAGCCCGAAATGAGTTTGCAATCTGGGACAATATGGGTCTCAGCAATAACCTTTGTAGAGGGGCTTGCTTTTCTGATATTTTCGCTCCCAAATTTTGACAACACTCAATGAGTGAGGGAACCACAAAAATAAATAAGGCTAATTTTTCTTCCATGTTAGCAATATGGAAGCTCAAAGTTTACATTCCTCCAAGGCACCATCTATCCCCAAGAGCCCAGGGCTACTATGTGGATGTTAGATTAATGGGCAGTCCATTTGTCAGGGTGGCAAACTCCCTTTGCCTTGATACCCTTTCATCTTTGCTTGGATCACCTTGGATTGAATTAAGTGAATGATGCCTGCCTTTCCTTTAGCAACTCCTTCACTAATTTAAAGAAATTCAGAGACAAGTTGTATGGTGGTCATTTTAACACCTGCCAAAATCTGTTTTAAATTATCCAGAGCAAATCATCCTATGTCTAAATTTCCCTCAAACTTTGTACTGGCCTTTAATCTCATTACAAGTAGAACACGTTTTCACTAAGTGCAAATTACATGTTATGTAGTCCTTTTCTGAAATGCATACATTGAAGGAGAAGATTTGATTCTAGGTCAAAGAGAGAAAACTAGCCTCTGAGGGTGGTATTTCTGAGACAACCACTAGAAGATCAGAGAAGCACAAGCATTCTCTTCTTTTTCTTTTGTTAATGGAGAAGTTGGTCATTTCCTAGTAGACTGCACACATGAAGAGATTCTACAGCTAGTAATGCTGAAATTAAGGCCTTCTGGTGGGGATGGGACACATAGATAGGAAGTACATTTTCATTGCAAGAATGCAGATTGGCTAGTTACAGTGGACGCTATTGATGCCCTGTCCAGATTCCATTTATTGGGCCAGTGCATCCATCCCCTAGCTGCTGTGAGTGTTGGCTGCTGAAGATTCGTACTCTTGCCCTTGTCAGATACACCATGTCTAGAAAACCTGAGGAATTAAAACCTCTCTCCTTTCACCCCACACCGCCGCCCTCCCCCCCTCCCCCCTGCCGCCCCGCCACCCACTCATGCATCCTGTCTTGAAATCAGTGGGCATAAAAGCCTGGCTCCCTTGTCTCAAGGTGCATTCTTTCCCTGGTGCCCTTCACGTTCCACAGTCCCCCGGACTCAGGCTGAGGCTAGACTTCAGCTGGATCATATCTATGCTTAGTTTCTTCCCCTGTCCTATGCTGCTCCCTTCACTTCCATATAGGTTTCATCTAAGGATACTCCCTCGATAAACCACTTTCACAAGAATCCCCATTCTTGGTTCTGCTTCTAGGGAACCCCACTTAAGACACCAGGATACTAATTTATATTTCATTTCTGTCTCTGTTTATGTTTTCCACTTCCACTTTCCCTTTCTCAGTCAAGCTAACTCTGCACTTCCCTGCCTCAGAGAAAGTTTATGTCAGGACTTCCCAGAGTCCATTTCCCAGAAACCCAAGTCCATTGTGAAGAACAGAGTTCGAGGAGTGAAAGATTTCCCTCACACTAAAAAGAAAATGGCCCACCACCACCACTGAAGGGAGAAAGAAAGGGGCCTTTGAATTCCTTGAGCAGATGGGACCTCTGCCCTGCTCCCCAACAACCCAGAGAATACAGTAGAAATTCAATGCTGATGGCCATGTGACATACCTTGGAGACTAAGTCCTATCCAGGATGCCCAGTCTCACCAAATTCCTGTCCCCTCTATGCCAAGCATGTCACACAAGCTGCTTCACTGGCCCACTGAAAGGCTCATGGAAACATGGATGACCCGTTTCACAGCTATAACAAGTACAGAAAGACACTCCCCAATACCTTGGTAATGGGTAACCCCGGGGACCTGGCACCACCCCCAAATCCCTGTGATAGGATGTTCTGCCATCCTGGAATCTACAGAGGACTGGCTTTTTTATGAAAATAAAGATGTTTAATAATTCTTTCACATACGAGTTACATTTCATACCTGCTTCATGAAGGGCAGCAAAAGGGTAAGTTTATGATTATTATGCTTTGTTATTATGAAACATTAATTAATAGGATGTTTATGAAGCATTTTCATTAACTAATAAAAGTAATACCCTGCAATGCACCTGAAAAAATAATAATTTCAGGGCAACATATATAGTATGACTGCAATAATGTTAAATACACACAACCACGTACTTAGGAAAGACAAGGAGTGGTAATTGTTTGGTGGCTTATTTTTATTTTATTTCTTATAGTTTTCTATATTTTCTAAACTTTTGTAGACATGATTATTGTTTTTCAAATCAGCTGGTCTCTTCTTTTTCTGCTCTCTACCACAGGCCAGTCAGTAGTACGAGGCACGAGCCCGAATCACCAGTCCCACTGCTATCAAGTCCAAGTTCTAAGCTCCGCCCATGCTACAGCACTGTGAATGTCTCAGGGGTGCTCCCTTAGGCTAGTGAGAACACATTGAGAGCAGGAGTTTGAAGCCGCAGTCAACTTGGATGTAGGGACTGAGTGTTTAGGGGGAGGGGAAGGAGGAAGGAAATGAACCTTTAAGCTTCTCCTCCTTTTGCGTGGAAAACCCACCACTGATGGACAGAGCAGCAGACACAGACAGACGGAAGCGAAAACCAGACAGGAACAAAGAGGAGACAATTTGGACTTAGTGCTCAGTGGATGCACCAACATCTGAATGTGCGTCCAGACCCAGACCTTTCCCTGTTCAGGGTCCAGGTTGTCAAGTCTGTCTCTTATTTCACAGTCCTCCATCGCTCTGCTACATGATAACCACTTTCTTCCCTCCACCTCCTGAAGTCACCAACGTCAACCATTTCTGCTGCTGACACTGCCCTGCCTTTGACAAGTCACAAAATGAGAACAAGCCTGGGTTCGGGCTGTCCCCTTGGGGAAACAGAGAAGTGCCTCCTAACTTGAAAATTGTGCTGCTACCTTCCACCCGGACTTCAGGAGTCTCCAATCAACACCCACCTTCACACCAACCTACAAGGATCTGGATGGGTTTCCTCCCTCTCCTCCTCCACCTTCTTAGGCCACAGTCACACCACCTTTAAGGAAATAGGGAGCTGAGAGCTGAGCAGGAACCGCTATTTGGACCAACACACCAGCACATCAGCTCCTGGTCACGTGAAGCCACTTCACTGGTGAGTCTGGGTCCCAAATTTCCCCTCCCATTATTTGCAAGGTCCCTCACTCCCCGCCTTCCCTCCCACCACCTCCACCATGCGGGGCACTGTCACTCGTTTTCTTTTTAGTCTTTGCGTACACAACAAATGTGTCATCTTTCTCTGATTACCGGAAGAAACAGCATCTTCTCCTGAGCTACTGGTCATTTCTACTTCTCTGGGAAACAGGCCCATCCTCTTCTCTGCTCCCTTCACCACTTCTATTTGGACTCACTAATGTTCATCTCTGCAGTCCTGAAAATACCTGGAAATGAAGATGAGGGAGGGAGTGTCAGGAAAGGAAACAGTAGGAATGGATTCTGTTACTTTCTTGTTAACACTATTCTATTCTTTGTTATACAAACATGCATTTTTATTATTGAAAAATGTTAAAGAACTATTTTCATTCAAGAAAAATGATTCACTTTTATTAAGTGGCATATATCATAAACAATAATTCTCACTGCATAATGAGTTCTGCACATGTCACTCAAAGCAATCTTAAGTTTTCTACATCTTGTCCCATGACAACATCCTGATTAGGTAATCACTTGAGAGCTTACAAATCTGATGATATGCCAGAACCAACTAGGTTTATTTCTGGAATGTAAAGGTGGTTCAGTGTTAGAAAGTCATTCATTCATTTATTCATTTATTCAGCACGTGTACTGAGCACCTACTACATGCCATGCATTGTTCTTGATGCTGTGGTTACAGCAGTGAATAGAGTTGACCTAAATTTCTAACCTCATAGTTCTTACATTCTAGTGAAACAGACAAGCAACCAACAAGATAAAACATATAGTATATTGTTATTAATAAGTACTAAAGAAAAAATAAATGGCAGGAAAGAAGATATGAAAAGTCAAGATGGGATGAACTTTTAGAAAGGGTGACTAATGAAGGACTCGCTAAAAAGGTGACCTTTGAGTAAAGATCTGAAGTCTGTGAGGGATCTAACTAAGTGCGGTGATGTGTGGTGGAAATACATCCCAGGCAAGAAGACGAGCAACTGAAAAGGCTCTGTAAAGGGAACATGTCCAGTATATTCCAGGAACATCAAGAAAGCCAAGATGACTGAGCAGGGTGAGTTAGATAGAGAGAGAGAAGTAGATTAGGCAGAAAAGTAGTAAGATTGAATAGGGTAGGACCTTGTCAGTTGTAATAAGGACACTTGTATTTCCTCTAAACAACACAGGAAGTGGGTGGGGAGTTTGAACAAGGGACATGTGCCTGGATGTGTTGAGAATAAACTATAGGAAGAGAAGAATGACAGGGACATTGGCCTGTCTACATCATTCCTGACAACAGCAAACCAAAGAAGAAAAGAAACCTCACAATGAAAGCATTTGATAAAATAAGTCACCATTCCTAATTTTAAAAAAAATTAGCAAAATAGGAATAGGAGAGAACTTCATTTATGTAGTAAATAATTATATGTAATTCCATGAGTCGTACTTAGATGAATTAAATTAGATATAAAAGAAAATATCCTTAACCTGATGAAGAAGATATCAGGAGCTCTTCTGATCTGGCAGATTCATCCCTCTCTCTGGTCTATCAAGATTACAGAACTTAACGACTTGCCTCCATTCACTGATAGTATTTCTTTGTACTACATGTGTGTGTGCACGTGCAAAAGAGAGAAAGAGAGAGACTGGTAAACATAAGTGAAATTAGCCTTGAAAAAAAAAAAGAAAATACTTCAATCCAAACAATAAAAGTTATACTAAATAATGAAACAAAAGAGGCATTCCCACTGACTTCAAGAACAAGATCAGGAGGCTGTTAAGGAAGTTCTAGTCAATGCCAGTCATTAAGTTCTGTGATCTTGGCAGACCACAGGGAGGGACAAATCTGCCAGATCAGAAGAACTTCTGATATATTCTTCATCAGGTTAAGGATATTTTTGTTTATGTCTAATTTAACCAAGAACGACTCATGCAGAAGAAGAAACAAAAGGGGGCATAAATGTTGGAAAGGAAGAAATGAAAACTCATCATTTACAAATGATTATATATAATACCAAGATAAGCCAAAGGTATCACTTTAAATTAGAATTAATAAGACAATCACAAAAATTTGGAACTTGATTAATAAGCACAAACGCACTTACTAATATGTGTCTAAAAAGAAAGTTGGAAACGGTTGACAGTGGCTGGGAGTGGAAAAGATAACACAAGGTTCTTTCCCTGTATACTTTATATATTTCCTTATTGTTTTGAATATTTTTAACCACTAGTATATATTACTTGTATTACCAGAACAAAATACAAGATTCCTAATCTGGACTATTATACATACATAACACAGACCCTCTTGGCCATTGTATTAACTCTTAACTTTTTGTGGGGTGGGGATTACCGACCCCTTGAGAAACTGATGAGGTCGATGATCTCTGTTCCTGGAAAAAAAAAAAAAAAATGCATTTAACCACACATATAATCCCAAACAAAACTTTGCAGGTGAATGCAATTTCAGGTGGTCCACAGAGTTGACCGGGTGAGAACACCTACTCTGGGTTCATCAGTGGGGATTGTTCCCTGGGCATACATTTGGTTGAGAGGGCACCAAGGTGGATGTGCACTGGCAGGCAGTAACCTTGCAGCAAGGCTAGACTCTTCCTGTGTCTCCTGGAGCTAAGGAGATCAGAAGTGAGAGGCCCAGGAGGCTACATCTCTTAGGCCAGGTGGTAGTAGCTGACAGTGTTTGGAGCAAGGCTCACTGGTAACCACGAATAAGGATAGACAGCAGTCAGGCCTGGGAACTTCCCCCAGCAATCACATTTTGTGTGATCACAAAAACCTTTTTGTGAAATCACAGGTTTCACAAATCGTCAGCTGCAGGGTCAGGTAAGAACAGCATTCCTTTCTATGCATCAATGGGTTACCTCTGGGAACTTCAGGAAGGGACGGAAGGAGCCAAAGACATTTAACCAGGTCTGCGTCTTGGTCACTTGTCCAGATATATTTTGGGAGTGAGCAACTGAGCCAGGTGCCTGAACGCAGGAGATGAGCGGCTCTGGTATATGGGAGGGAGTAGAGAGACAGCACCTCCCTCCTCCTCCTGACACGGCGGGGGGAATTTGACCACCCTGCACCCACCACACTCAGTTTCCTTGGCCTCACAGCTCTTCCTTTTGCCCAGAGTTGAATCATTAACAGGAACCTAATCCGAAGACAGGTGTTCAAAACTGTCATGGTTACAGCCATCAAATTACAGGAGGTTCACACACAGCAGTCAGCAATGGTTTGGGAATATTAAATAAATGTGTTTCTGTAACAGAACAAGACAGGATCATTTATTTATGCAACTTAAAAGCTATCCCAGAAGGAGAAAAAAGTAGCACATTATTTGTCCAAAATAAATAAGATTGGACAACTGAACAGCTCTCTGTGGATCAATTTACAGATCATATGGAAATACGCTTATCTTATTGAGAAACATTTCATTTTAGATGTTCAAATACCTTAGCATATTTTAAGAACTATTTCCTATGTGGCCAAAAGAATTCATGTTCTATTCGGTAAAAATTAACCAAAATTAATGGTGCTTTCCAATGGACGCAGGAAACCTTTTTTCTTTACAAAACATGCCCACCCTTTTTTTGTTGCTACTTCCCACATTGAATTCTTGTTTTACTGAATTTTTTTTTACTATAAAAATAAAGCATGATAATAGTTTTAAAAGCAAAACAGGAGTATTCCAGAAGTACAGACCCCACTCCCACTCCTTGTCACCTTTCTGACACTCTCCCCCTTAGCTATACTGGAACAGGGCGCCAACTGCAAGGAAAATCCTGGGGACTAGGGGCTGAGGAACTATAAGTGGAGCGATGGAAGAGTGTCCAGTAGCCCAGGAAAGGATGAAACAATTCCCCAACAAAAAAGTAAAAATTTTCAATAGCCCTCCGAGAAGATGCAGCCCCTCCCAGGTAACCAGAGAAAGGCAAATTCTGAATGCAGGGAGAAGGGGCTACTTTGGGCCTCCAGGACTACAAAGACAAAAAAATGAGTGACAGGACCTGATGTGGTCGGGGGAGATGGGAATGGAAGTAAAGGAGGGGGTTCGTACTCTTGGTGGGAGTGGAAATTGGGGACACAAGCTTACTGGCGATGCAGTCCTCACGTGACCAGGAGCTGACGTGGGCAAAGGTACTTAAAGCCCTGACCGCCGTCCCCCGTCCTCCTCTGGGTACCAACTCTATTGCGCAGCTCGCTGCCGTGCGTTTAACCCAGGCGAGGAGGAGGAGGAGAAAATTTCCCAGACTCGGGCAGGTGGGTGCGAGGGTGGGCACAGTCTGGGACCCCTGAATGGGGTAATCTAGGGATGCGGGAGTCGGAGGCCGCGGGTGCCTCGGTCTCCCCCGCTCCTGGCCGGCTTTCCAGACCTGAGGTGCTCAGACGCGGCTCATTTTGGTGGGCGGCGAGGAAAGGGGGAGGGGGAAACGAAAAGACTTTTGATAGAGTTTACGAAGAATCCGCTTACTTCCTGTCCAGCCAGTGTTTTTGGTTTTGTTTATAACATTCAGGCCCGCACCCCGCATCCCGTCCTGTTTTGAGAGGAGGAGGGAAGAGAAATAAACGTGGCAGCGCATAGAAGGCCAGCGGAGAGGTTGGGAAAGGGTAACCAGGAGGCGGGGGTGGGGCATGCAATTTGGTAACAATCTGGGCCGTACACTCCCACCCTGACCTCCCCCACCACCGCCCCCGCACCCTCCCATCACCCAGCCGACCCTCTGTGCTTTGGGAGTGCTGGGAAATGGGTGTACCAGCTGCTGTTGGAGAGATGGCGGGTTTGGCGCTGTCTGGGCTTCACGGGAGGTGGGGGTGGGGGGGACCCTGAGAGAATCTGGTATTAAACCGCCTTGTTAACTCGCAGACTGCTTTCCAGACACCTCCGGCCCACACAGCCGTTCACCCCCCGTCTTTTCAGTCCTGGAAAAGGAATTCGGGTATGCAGGCGGGAGAAATGGCGGTTGTTGGGGGGATTTGTGGAAAGTGGCAGGTAAAGCCCGTAACAGAGAAATCGTGGAAAATCTCAACCCTGAACCCGAAAAGGCAGACGTTGAGGCTCCTCTTCTGCAGGCTAATCCTAGGCCTAGGGGCTGGGTAGCGAAAGACGGGTGATCCTGGGAGGGGAACACTGAATTGTTTGGCAGGAGTCCCCCATACCGCGTCCCATCCGGCCTTTGCTGCACCCTCGCCCTCGCCCCGCTCCCCTCCCGCTTCGTTGGAGGAGAAGGGGTGTGGCGGTGTGTCCCGGAGAAATGGCGGATGGGGGCGGGGCAAAGCGGAAGGAGGGATTGAGTGCCTGGGGAGCCTGCGCAGGAGGAGGATTGAGAAGGGAGGGTGGGGTGAGAAGAGTTGAAGGAATTGAGAGGTAGAATCATTTGGCATTCTGGTGTGCGAATACGAAAAGGCAGTTACTAAGACCCTTGTCCTGGTGCTGATCCATCCACCAGGCTTTCATTGTCTAACGGCGACAGGCTATATTTCTGCTCTTCAGTCTGTCCTTAGGATGAATCTCTAACTGAACTGAAGTAAGGAGAAACAGCCTTGAATCTTTGGAGGTCAGTGTTGGGGTTGGAATTGTCTGGGGCCCCCAGGTGTGGGTGTGGCAGAGACCAGAGCAGAGTATGGGACCAGAGGCTCCTCCTGCATCTTCTCTCTTTTAACTTAAAAGACACCCTTGCCCCTTTCCCCGGGCCCTTTCTTTTTGGTGCAGAGAAAGGGGCGTGGCATCTGCCTTAGTTAATATTTGGGGGAGGAAAGGTTGAAGAGGAAAAAAGGATCCCTGAGAGGGGGAAAACTTTTGACCCACAGGGTTTCAAATCAGGAAAAGAACCAGAATTTGTCCACCAAAGGCTCAAAAACACCCTTTCTGATCTGTCCTCAGGTCTGTCTTCCTTTTGGGCTCTGTGCAACTGCAGCTACAGTGGAAAAAAGCAAACTACTCTTGATCCCAGGAGGTTGGTATGTGCATGAGCAACATCTAGGGACCTTGGGGGTAGGGAGTGGGACATCATAGCAGTATCTGAGGTCTCTACTGTTTTCCCAGCTCTCCACCAGCTTTGCCGATGTCTGTACTGCCTCTCGTCCCCCCATTTAGATGCTGCAAGTTGTAGGCATTGGCAGAGCAGGCTAAGGTTGAAGATGTAGAAAACGTTAAACTAGGTCTGTGAATCAGCAAACACAGGCCTTGACACCTGTGTTTGGGTGCTAGCTCACCGAGCAAGCATTGTGTCCCTAAACTCTTCTCTAAGTAAAACTGGTTAGACACGAAGTGAGCAAGAGCCCTAAGCCTCATTTTTATCCTTTACCCCTAGGCCCTGCCTAAGCCTCAGCAGAACTTGTAAGCCTAAACTGAAGAGCCTCACCCGGAGGAGCAGGCATCCCTTAACCTTAAGCAAGCCACTTCCACGCCCTGGATCAGTGAATAACCCCAGCTGCACCATGAGCCGCGTTCGGGATGCTGGCTGTGTAGCGGCGGGGATAGTGATAGGGGCTGGTGCCTGGTACTGTGTCTACAAATACACCAGGGGAAGAGACCAGACCAAGAAGAGAATGGCCAAGCCCAAAAACCGGGCTGTGGCTGGGACTGGAGCCAGGGCTAAAGCTGGGCTAAGAGCCGGCTTCACAATCGACCTTGGGTCAGGATTCAGTCCCCCAACCCCAGTCCGCGCTGAAGCAGAGGACAGGGCTCAGGATGAAGCCTCTGCTCTGGACACAGTTGGAGCTGAGGCAGTGGCCCCAGCTGCATCCAGCGCTGAGGCTCAGAGTGGGGCAGGCGGTCAGGCCCAAGAGGCAGATGGAGCCAGAGTTGGGCCTAAGGCCGAATCAATAGTTGGGGCTGCAATGGCTTCTACAATTGCACCACCTCCCGGGGTGACAGAGGCCCTTGGGGCTGCAGAAGCCCATGCAATGACAGGGGCTCCCAAAGTGGCAGAAGCTCCCAGAGAAGCGGAGACTTCCAGGGCAGCGGTGCCTCCTGGGACAGTGGTGCCTACCGAAGCAGCAGCACCCACTGAGGTGACCGAGGCTCCTGGGGTAGCAGCACCTACCAAAGTATCTGAAGCTCCTGGGGTGACATCGCCTACTGAGGCAGCTGAGGCTCCTGTGCCCGCAATGCCTACTGGGGCTGCAGCACCTACTGGGGCTGCGGAGTCTCCTGGAACTTCTGGTTCCCCTAGAACAGCGGTGGTTCCTGGGACATCAGCCGCCAAGAAAGCAACCCCTGGGGCTCACACTGGGGCTATACCTAAAGCCACATCAGCAACTGGAGCGGTACCCAAAGGTGGAGCCAAGGGTGTAACCAGGTCCCGGAATGGGGGCAAGGGCAAGGGCAAGAAAAGCAAGGTTGAAGTAGACGAACTGGGGATGGGCTTCCGTCCTGGAGATGGGGCTGCAGCAGCTGCTGCAGCCTCTGCCAATGGCGGACAGGCTTTCCTGGCAGAGGTCCCTGATTCTGAGGAAGGGGAGTCCGGGTGGACTGACACAGAGTCAGATTCAGACTCTGAGCCCGAAACCCAGCGCAGAGGGAGGGGAAGAAGACCCGCTGCCATGCAGAAGCGCCCCTTTCCTTATGAAATTGATGAGATTCTGGGTGTTCGCGATCTCAGGAAGGTCCTTGCCTTGCTTCAGAAATCTGATGATCCTTTCATCCAACAGGTAGCTTTGCTCACTCTGAGCAACAATGCCAATTATTCATGCAATCAAGAGACAATCCGCAAATTGGGAGGCCTCCCAATTATTGCAAACATGATCAACAAAACTGATCCCCACATTAAGGAAAAAGCCTTAATGGCCATGAATAACCTGAGTGAGAATTATGAAAATCAGGGCCGGCTTCAGGTGTACATGAATAAAGTGATGGATGATATCATGGCCTCTAACCTGAACTCAGCAGTTCAAGTAGTTGGACTAAAATTTCTAACAAACATGACTATTACTAATGACTACCAGCACCTGCTTGTCAATTCCATTGCAAACTTTTTCCGTTTGCTATCTCAGGGAGGTGGAAAAATCAAGGTTGAGATTTTGAAAATACTTTCAAATTTTGCTGAAAATCCAGATATGTTGAAGAAACTTCTCAGTACCCAAGTGCCAGCATCATTTAGTTCCCTCTATAATTCTTATGTGGAATCAGAAATCCTTATTAATGCCCTTACTCTTTTTGAGATTATCTATGACAATCTCAGAGCAGAAGTGTTTAACTATAGAGAATTCAATAAGGGTTCCCTTTTTTACTTATGCACTACATCTGGAGTGTGTGTTAAGAAAATTAGAGCCTTAGCAAATCACCATGACCTCTTAGTGAAAGTGAAAGTTATAAAGCTAGTGAACAAATTCTGATTGGTTATGTACTGTCAAAAGACTTGAAAGAAATTTCTTGATTTTGCAGTCTGGAAGTGTTGAAAATTGAAAGTTACTGCTTTTCCACTTGCTCATATAGTAAAGGAATCCTTTCAGCTGCCAGTGTTGAATAATGTATCATCCAGAGTGATGTTATCTGTGACAGTCACCAGCTTTAAGCTGAACCATTTTATGAATACCAAATAAATAGACCTCTTGTACTGAAAACATATTTGTGACTTCAATCGTGCTGCTTGGATGGAAATATTTTTACTGGTTCTTCTGAATTGACAGT